AAAGTATAATAGGTAATAATATTCGTGAATCGTTAGAAATAATAAAACACAAAAAAGATCATTAGTATTAAATAGAGATGAAGGTATGGCGAATATTTCTGCAAGAATGTGGATTGATCTCCTTTGGATGGTTTAGCGTGAATGTGTGAAAAATAACATACAGGTCACTGACCTACTAACAAGCTATAAATACTTTGGCTATTGTCTTGTAATTCACTCCTGAGGATGACGTTGTAACGTCGAAACATGAAGAGTCGTCAACTTTTTGAAGGCCATAGATAGGCCTAAATAAAATATTTTTAATTGTGAACCAGTTGAACGTTGAATATTATTTATGATTTTAACTTTATACACAAGTGCCAAAACACTATAATTGTAAATATACGTGTTTGATCTGTAGTCGATTGGTAGCAGACAGAACTTTTAACTGTGGGTAAAGAGAACTTTTAACTGTGGGTAAAGAGAACTTTTAACTGTGGGTAAAGAGAACTTTTAACTGTGGGTAAAGGAAACTTTTAACTGTGGGTAAAGAGAACTTTTAACTGTGGGTAAAGAGAACTTTTAACTGTGGGTAAAGGAAACTTTTAACTGTGGGTAAAGAGAACTTTTAACTATTGGTAAAGAGAACTTTTAACTATTGGTAAAGGAAACTTTTAACTGTGGGTAAAGATAACTTTTAACTGTGGGTAAAGAGAACTTTTAACTGTGGGTAAAGATAACTTTTAACTATTGGTAAAGAGAACTTTTAACTATTGGTAAAGGAAACTTTTAACTATTGGTAAAGGAAACTTTTAACTGTGGGTAAAGAGAACTTTTGCGCTTCATTTTCAAAGTAAAATACCAAGAATTGGCCGTAGGTGGTGTTGATTAACTGCCTTCCATCTAGTGTATCACTTCTAAATCAATTATTCTTTACCATCGAATTGTGGGATTGACCGTAAAATTATAACATCCCACGGCTGAAAGGACGAGCATGTTCGGTGACGGGATTCGAACCCACGACCCGCAGATTGCGAGTCGGATGCCCTAATCACCAGATCATACATAACAGATGCCTTGGTTTGAATATGGTTATGTGTCTTTATTGAACAATTATACAGATTATCCAATGTCTTCTACTTTAAAATAAAAAATTCACAAATACTGATGTTTAAACTTCACAATATAAAAACTAAATAACCAAGTAAATCAGAAGGCTTATAAATGATTCAACTCTGTTGAAAGTAGTCAACATTTAATACTGAAACTGTAAATGCTGGAAATGAATTAAAAATATTGCCTGGCTACGTTGACTTCATAGTTTAGAAAACGATAAGATTTAATTCAACATTTATCTAGTGGTTAACTCGTAGTATAGCTTGCTGATTGAGATGGTTACATTTACTTGAGTACTTGTTAAATTATTACGTTCACGTCTTAAATGGTGAAGCTTGCTTAAATCTCGGTGCATGTTCAGCTAATTTAAAATTACTGGATAATTTGGATAAACGCTTAAACTTTCTTCAAAACTCACAAAATCCTTAAATTCATTTCCAGTCTTGCTGAATAGTTTTTTTTTTTTTCAAATTTAATACAACAATGAAACTCGCTACAAAACTAACGAAATCAACTAAGGCTCGCTACAAAATTTACTGAATGATTAGGCTCCCTACAAAATTTACTGAATGATTAGACTCGCTACAAAATTTACTGAATGATTAGGCTCGCTACAAAATTTACTGAATGCTTAGGCTCGCTACAAAACTTACGAAATCAACTTAGACTCACTACAAAATTTACTGAATGATTAGACTCACTACAAAATTTACTGAATGATTAGTCTCGCTACAAAACTTACGAAATCAACTTAGACTCACTACAAAATTTACTGAATGATTAGACTCACTACAAAATTTACTGAATGCTTAGGCTCGCTACAAAATTTACTGAATGCTTAGGCTCGCTACAAAACTTACGAAATCAACTTAGACTCATTACAAAACTTACGAAATCAACTTAGACTCATTACAAAATTTACTGAATGAATAGACTCACTACAAAATTTACTGAATGATTAGACTCGTTACAAAACTTACGAAATCAACTTAGACTCACTACAAAATTTCCTGAATGATTAGGCTCGCTACAAAATTTACTGAATGCTTAGGCTCGCTACAAAACTTACTGAATGATTAGACTCGCTACAAAATTTACTGAATGCTTAGGCTCGCTACAAAACTTACGAAATCAACTTTGACTCACTACAAAATTTACTGAATGAATAGACTCACTACAAAATTTACTGAATGAATAGACTCACTACAAAATTTATTGAATGATTAGGCTCACTACAAAATTTACTGAATGATTAGGCTCACTACAAAATTTACTGAATGCTTAGGCTCGCTACAAAACTTACGAAATCAACTTAGATTCACTACAAAACTTACTACATAGTTAATTTTATTTTAAAACCTACTGAATGATAATGACAATGGGATTAATAATATCTTTAATCGTGTCAATCTTTACTGGCGCATTACAGCTTTCCATTAAGAAGGGGATATAATGTCATTTACACCTCGATGTACGTCACTGGAAACAAGCCTTTTCTCTCAATACCATCAGGCCGGTTGAGTTACAACGTTGTCAGAATATTTATATCGCTTCAAAATTTAGCAACTGGTTAATCAATTAGTCAACTAACTGATTGATTAGACTCTCTTTATGAGTGCTTCACATCTTATAGAATATTAGTTGGAAATTAATTCTTATAAAATGTAAGTATTCAGCTGATATAAGTAACATTTCATAAAACACTATGTATTGTAACTGTGTTATCTTGGTGAACTCTGGTATTAAAATGGCGTTTAACAAAGCAAGCATTGTTGAAATACTGTTAGACACTTATTAGGATAATAAAGAATGGAGTAAATAAAACTGTTTAACAAAGCAAGCATTGTTGAAGTACTATCAGACACTTATTAGGATAATAAAGAATGGAGTAAATAAAACTGTTTAACAAAGCAAGCATTGTTGAAATACTGTTAGACACTTATTAGGATAATAAAGAATGGAGTAAATAAAACTGTTTAACAAAGCAAGCATTGTTGAAATACTGTTAGACACTTATTAGGATAATGAAGAATGGAGTAAATAAAATTGTTTAACAAAGCAAGCATTGTTGAAATACTGTTAGACACTTATTAGGATAATAAAGAATGGAGTAAATAAAATTGTTATTCTTCTCATTGTGATGTCATCTTCACAACTATTGTTCTGGAAGAGATCATGCGTCCTCAATGGCGGTGTTATCCACTTTAACACATTTGAATGAACATATTCGTTCTTTAAAACTAGCTGGCGTTGTTTCATTGGAATGTATCATTAAAAATGTAAAACAAGGGACATTAACATTGCTTTAAGACATAGTGTATAGCTATAGAAGAATAAAGTCGACTTCAAACACGTGATCAATATTATAAAACTTTATGTAACGATCAGACAATGATTAGAACTAGTTGTTAATATTCACACACTCCTCTCTGAACCATGAAGGTATTTATATCATACACAATAAATTAAAATTTTCTGATTTATATATGCACAAGTTTTATAGACCGACTAATTTTGTTATGATTTTGTACACCGCTATGCCATTGAAATTTAACTTCTAATATCAATAGTGGCTGAAACATTAACTTTTAATATCAGTAGTGGCTGAAACATTATCTGTTAATATCAGTAGTGACTGAAATATTATCTTTTAATATCAGTAGTGGCTGAAACATTAACTTCTAATATAAGTAGTGGCTGAAAAATGAACTTCTAATATAAGTAGTGGCTGAAAAATGAACTTCTAATATCAGCAGTGGTTGAAAAATTAACTTCTAATATAAGTAGTGGCTGAAAAATGAACTTCAAATATCAGTAGTGGCTGAAAAATGAACTTCAAATATCAGTAGTGGCTGAAAAATGAACTTCAAATATCAGTAGTGGCTGAAAAATGAACTTCTAATATCAGCAGTGATTGAAAAATTAACTTCTAATATTAGTAGTGGCTGAAACATTATTTTTTTAATATCAGTAGTGGTTGATAAATTCACTACTTATAATATCAGTAATGGCTGAAAAATGAACTTCAAATATCAGTAGTGGCTGAAAAATTCCTTTTTGCCCTGGTTTTTTTCGGGACCTTAATACCCTGTAAAAATGAAATAAAAAAAATGTTATTTAGTGGATAAACATTAATAAAAGCACTAATAAAATCCACATATCCTTATTGATTACTTGTTCAGAAAATTAATTCCTACACTCAAAGTGTGAAAATAAAAAACAAAACACACACACACACAAAGAACAAGCTACTTTTAAAATACAAACTTATAAAGATATTTCTCAGTTTATAGCTTCTGCTTTTAAAGTACTCGTACAAATATAATTCATGTTATGTAGTTCCACTGAAAGAGTGACTCGATTGGACTGGAATGATGGAAAGTATATGTCCATAAAAAAGACGTAATTTTTATTTATAGAAGTTTTTACAGGGGTGAACCTGTGTGGTATAGGGGAAAAAACAATTATCCATTGTAACCTATTTTATCTCACCATCTATTGGTGTCCAAGGTTTATCTATTTTACCTCACCATCTGTTGGTGGCCAAGATTTACCTATTTTACCTCACCATCTAGTGGTAGCCAAGGTTTACCTATTTTACCTCACTGTCTAGTGGTGGCCAAGACTTCAACTGTAGCTTCTTTATCAAAAGTCGCCCGAGATGTTTTCGGAAATTTATCTTCTTGAATTTTGGAGACGCGCATCCTGACGACTGTAGCGTCCTCTAGCCAGGTGATCACTGAGATGATGGCAGGCACCATCATTGTTGTCGTAAAGTGTGATTCTATATTCCATAGTGTCCTCGGCCTCCAGACTGTCTTAAAGACGTTTTCATTCTCGAGCGACTTCTTCGTGCTAAAGTCTATTTTACCTCACCATCTATTGGTGTCCAAGGTTTACCTATTTTACCTCACCATCTATTGGTGACCAAGGTTTACCTATTTGATCTCACCATCTATTGGTGTCCAAGGTTTACCTATTTTACCTCACCATCTATTGGTGTCCAAGGTTTACCTATTTTACCCCACCATCTATTGGTTTCCAAGGTTTACCTATTTTATCTCACCATCTGTTGGTTTCCAAGGTTTACCTATTTTATCTCACCATCTATTGGTGTCCAAGGTTTACCTATTTTACCTCACCATCTGTTGGTGGCCAAGGTTTACCTATTTTATCTCACCATCTATTGGTGTCCAAGGTTTATCTATTTTACCTCACCATCTGTTGGTGTCCAAGGTTTACCTATTTTACCTCACCATCTATTGGTGACCAAGGTTTACCTATTTTATCTCACCATCTGTTGGTGTCCAAGGTTTATAAACCTTGGACACCAATAGATGGTGAGATAAAATAGGTAAACTGTGGTCTCAATGACCTCCGATGCACAGCGCCTGTGGTCTCAATGACCTCCGATGCACAGAGCCTGTGGTCTAAATGACTTCTGATGCACAGAGCCTGTGGTCTCAATGACCTCCGATGCACAGAGCCTGTGGTCTCAGTGACCTCCGATGCACAGAGCCTGTGGTCTCAGTGACCTCCGATGCACAGAGCCTGTGGTCTAAATGACCTCCGATGCACAGAGCCTGTGGTCTAAATGATCTCCGATGCACAGAGCATGTGGTCTCAGTGACCTCCGATGCACAGAGCCTGTGATCTAAATGACCTCCGATGCACAGAGCTTGTGGTCTCAGTGACCTCCGATGCACAGAGCCTGTGGTCTTAGTGACCTCCGATGCACAGAGCCTGTGGTTTCAATGACCTCTGATGCACAGAGCCTGTGGTCTCCTGACCATTAGCGAAGGAAATAAATTTTTGTTCGACATTAAACTCTGCCTTAGATATTCGCCCTCCTCAGTTAACGAGAGCTACTCATAATTACTTATGTCAAGGATACAACCCACCATTACAGAACACTGCATAGACCTATTTAGAGGGCATTTACATTAGTTCATTCTGGATTTCAGGGTTCAAACAATGACGACTTGTTTCGTTGTATTAGAACCAACGAATGTATTAATTCAATACTTACAACTTAAGTTAAAATATTTCCGTTTCCGGGTTCATTTAACCACCAAAAGCTTAATTTCTCTGCCAAGTGCAGGACTGTTATATCAATACCTAATAGGTTAATTATTGTAGTTGCCGTTCAGCGTAGATTAAAGTAACAGTACAGTTCAACCATCAATACCTAATAGGTTAATTATTAGTGGTTGCCTTTCAATGTAGATTAAAGGTTGAACTGTACTGTTACAATTAACCTATTAGGTATTGATATTAGTAGTAGCCGTTCAAGTAGATTAAAGGTTGAACTGTACTGTTACAATTAACCTATTAGGTATTGATATTAGTAGTTGCCGTTCAGCGTAGATTAAA